AAGTTTGAAGGAATTGAAAGAAAGAAACAGATGGATCTATTTCTAAAATCTATAAAAAAATATATATTCCAAAAAAAAATGAATTATATAAATCAGTATTGGAATTAGTCGTTTGGGGAAAAAGAGCTTAAAAGAATTCTTGAAGAGGAAATAAAAACTTAAAACTAATTAAAAAGAAATGGCAAAATGAAGGGAAAAAAAAAAATCTTTATCTACGAAAATGATCATATCTGGAGAACAAAATTATGGAGTTATCAGTGAGAAAGGAAAGCCAATAACATCTATCAAGGATAAATATTATATTTAAAAAGACTAAAAAGTAGGTAGAAAATGGAACAAATTTTCTATTAAAAAAAAAAAAAAAAAAAAAAAAATCGTAAAAACTCTTTGTGAAATTCTTTGGTATAGAAACTCGAAAAATGAAATAATAATAATAATTGGGGGAAAAAACACATCTAGGGGAAAAAATGGTAGGAATAATTAGGGAAAGAGAAACTCGAAGAAATTTTTAGGGGAAAAAATATATAATCTAGGGAAAAAAACAGAAAAGGAAAAGAAGTATTAGGGAGAAAAATACATATCTAGGGGGAAAAAAAGTAAATGAAAGGATATATTAGGAAGGGAAACTAACATTTCTAGGGAGAAAAAAAGTAAGTAAAAGGCAATTATTTGGGAAAAGAAATACACATCTAGGGGAAAAAGACGTAAGTGAAAGGAGTTCTTAGGGAGGAAAATAAAACATCTAGGGAAAAAAAGTAAGTAAAGGGAATTATTAACGAGAAAAAAAATACACAACTAGGGGAAGGGGGGGGGGGTTAAGTGAAAGGAATCATAAGGGAGAAAAAAAAATGTCTAGTACCACAAAAATACAGCCGCCTCTTCAGCTCTCTATTTTAATCAATATGCTATCACTAAGATTTGTTAAAGACAAGTATGCAGGGAAAACTGATCTCTTTCTATCAAGAACTACATTCTAAAACAATCCAAAAAGACTTGTATATCATAAAGAAGCGTATCCAACCATTACAAAAAAAAAATATCAGTAGTAATAGATGAGCCTACAAAGGACTGAAAATGACACGCATTCTCTACCTACTCACAACGGTAATAAAATCATTAGTAAATAAAATGGCCAACGAAACATTTAAACGAGCTTATGAAACAAGTGAGGATCTAACCAAACATATAGACCAATTAATGTACAGACAATCAGCCAAAAAAATAAACCGTGGTCCTTGTAAACTTACCATTGATGTAGTTGTTCTCGTCCTCACTAGTGATTGAAGTCAGGTCACTCCCCAAATTGGCCTGGCACCATGACCTCGATTCGTCCCAAGTCTTGGTCTCGAAGCCGAAGTAGTAACAGTGGTTGTTCCAGTATTTCCAGCCGTCCGGACACCGCACTGGAAGGGAAGGAAGGGATATGGGAAAGAAAAAACTGGATAGGGTTAAGATTTAAAAAAAAAAAAAAAAAAAAAAAAAATGCTGGTTGGAGTAAGAGTGTGTGGGGGGGGGGGGGAGGTTGGGGGGCTGGAAGACGTGGATACGGTTAGAATCAAAATGCTGGTAGGAATATGGGTGAAATGGATGGTCTCTCTCTCTCTCTCTCTCTCTCTCTCTCTCTCTCTCTCTCTCTCTCTCTCTCTCTCTCTCTCTCTCTCTCTCTCTCTCTCTCTAAAATGCTAGAATGGATATTGGTGAAATGTATACGTTTTTTTCCTTAAATGCTGGAAGGGATAGGGTAGAAATGTATGTTTTTCTTAATGCCAGAAGGAATATGGGAGATGTGGATACAGCTTTTAAAAAAATGCTGGCTGGAGAGAGGGCATTGGGAGAAAAGGACACGGCTTTAAGAAATGCTGGCTGGACTTTAAGACTGGTAGGATCATAGTCTATGCTTGAATTACTGTTAGTGGGATTATAGTATTCGTAGAATTATGACCGGATTGTCATGGCTGGATTATGTAGCTGGCAAGATTATAATAAGTGAGTTCATAATGTTATAATGGTAAGAATATAATTTGCTATAATCCTAGAACTAAAATATGAGTTGGTATGATTATAATACTGGGAAATTATTATGGTTATTATAAAGCTGAAATAGGTTTGTATTGTGTTGTATTTTACCATTGGTGAATTAGACAAAAATAATAATTGCTATATATAATTCAATAAATCAATAAAATTCACACAAACACATTCACAGCAAGAAATTAAACGAAAAAACATGGACTGAGTTGCGAGTAAAAGTACAAATTGGATTTTCATTTAGAAACGACGATACGATATCAAACAAATTCAGGAATTTTTGTTCAGTTTTCATTGTGGATATATTTCTTTGTGTTTATTTACATCATGTTTGATTTTCTTTTTTATTGATTAAAAGAAATGTTGTTGGTGGTGATTTAGGATTTAACAAAGAGATTTAAGGTTTAAAGTTAGAAAAAAAACAACTTAGCTTGTACTGCGTTCAAATTAAATGTTGAAAATAAGGAATAGA